TGTCGTTGGCGGTTGATCGATATCACCCAGCGAGCCAGCGAGTCAGCAAGCCAGCGAGCCCAGCGAGCCAGCGAGCCCAGCGAGCCAGCTCGTAACACATGTATACATGTTACATGGGAGCGTGTACATGTCAGTACGCTGGCGTATATCGTGGGTTATTCGTGTGTTCGTGAGTCGTATGGCGTATGTCGCTGGCAGAGGTATTCACTCCGTGAGTGCACTCTGTCTAGTTGTGTTTGTGCGTGGGTGCGTGCGCGTGTGTGTATTATGAATTGCGCAGTAACTATAAGGTTTAGTGAGTAAATTCAGGAATAAGAATCTTCAACAGATCCGTTGATCTGGGAAATTATTGTTTTTTAAAGTCATGTGTCTAGAGCTGGAAATTGTATAGTAGTAAAGTGTGATTGTAAAAACACTGAAACATAAATCTCTGCGCAGAAACTAGCAGAAGTTGTCGATGAAAAAATTGCATAAACTCAAAATTCATTGTCAAAATTCTGTGTAATCAGTTAAATTACATTTGCTTGCTGTTTTAGCTAAACCTTTTGAGGTTTTAATGAATGAATTCATCATTCACAAGTCTCCAAAATCATCTGTTTATTGTCTGCGTATAAAATTCAACCTTGACAAATAAAAAACAAAACAAATATCCTATACAACTAGAACATGTATGACTCTACTAATCACTATGTATTAAAACTGGAGCGCTCAGGAAATACATTCAGTCACGCGGGGGGGGGGAATCGTCCGATCGTTATATATGAGAATTTTATATAGAGCTGTGGCTTAGGTTGTTGGTTGGTAAGTTATATATATGTAGCAGTTTACAGCTCTGCATTAAACCATTTCAAGATTGTGCAAACATGGTGAACAATCGAAGCCAAGGCGTCTAGCACTAGCAGTAAGTAAACGAAATCACGCTACAAGCGGTAGAGAGTGAATGGGGTGAAAGGGCGGCAGGGAGGGAAGTGGTAGAGCCAATTGAGTTCATTTGGTAGTTACCATGAGGCATGTTAAAACCCCATTACAGTGTTAATTGGCATGGTTCTAAGCAAAGTTCTACTAATTAAGATTATTTATAGGCATTTCCGCGTTACAGGTAAATCTAGAGAACGGTTTGCATGTCAGTGCGTCCGCAAGATTAGTTTCACGAGTTATTTTCCGGGTGTGAGATATCGTCACAGTCGTGTGCTGCTATGATGACTATAGCTGCTCTTCTGGCTGACGCTGGAAAATGGAAGTGAATGCTAGGTTCAGGTGGATTTCACAGCTATTTGTGTGAAGATTCACACTGAGACACAAAAGATTCACACGCACTGACGAGATCTCACTGGGAATGTTGAACTGTGTATATCCGATTAAAATAGTGTCTATTTTAAGATATTTATAAATATCTTTGGAGCCACTGTTGTGAAAAAGGGGTTTACAGTGTGACTTAGCCCTATCGATTGTACTCAGTATTCTTTCTCTATATTAAGCAATATATTAATACACAAAATGCAAGCAATTCGGCCACGTTGTATGCCTAGGTAGTTGTCCATTACTGTGTCTGTGTGTCTAAGCAGTTAACGCTCACCCAGCGGGTAATTCTTGTTGCCGGGCAAAAGCTTCAATATAGTAGTTATAAATGAGCATCTTGTAATGACAATAAAACATGATGACATCATACACATGCAAGCAGCCCATACAGCGTTAGCATATCTTTGAACCAATGGTATCATATGTCTCCATGTATTGTTTGTTACCGCAGTTGCTGCATTTTGTCTCATAAACGAGTAGATAACGCATTAGAAAGTGGTTTTACAAGGCCACGGCATGTGAAAAGTATTTTTTATATCTCTCCCTCCGTCCATTGCCTCATCACTACTCATTCTCTCTCTCCCCCTCTCTTTCTCTCTCTCTCTCCCTCACTACATCGATACTACACTGTAGTTCTTGCAGTAGAGTTTATTATTAGCAGCCGCAAGGTGATGTACACAGTAAGTTGGTTTCACTGCTTAGTGCTGCCCATTAGCAGCAGCAGCAGCTGGGGGAGGAGGAGCGATGGTGGTTATAGTAACGGTGATGTATTTTTTCAGGTACGTACTATCGTGTGCGATCATGCCGTATCAATTTCTGGAACTCTCATGCTGCTTTCATACTGCGAACGACTTTAGCCCGCTTCTGAAGCGGGATAACTTTAGTTCGGGATAAGTCGCTTCATACTGCGCACGACTTTAGCCCGCTTCTGAAGCGGGATAACTTTAGCTCGGGATAAGTCGTTTCATACTGCGCACGACTTTAGCCCGCTTCTGAAGCGGGATAACTTTAGCTCGGGATAAGTCGTTTCATACTGACGTTAGCTCGGGTCTGAAGCGAACCTGAACCACCTCCTGAGGTGGAATAACTTTAGCTCGGGCTAAGTGTTTTTCGACCTTTCATACTGGTGTTTATCCCGCTTCAGGTCCGGACCTGAAGCGGGATAACCCCCAGTATGAATGGGGTAAGGGGGGGGGGGAATTTAGAGCGAGCTAAAGTCGAGATACCTTTTCATACTGACGTTAGCTCGGGTCTGAAGCGGTCCTAGAGCGGGATAACTTTAGCTCGGGCTAAGGGTGTTTCGACCTTTCATACTGGGTTTTATTCTGCTTCAGGTCCGGACCTGAAGCTTGATAAACCCCAGTGTGAAAGCGGCATCAGTGTAGCGCGTATCATCGTCTGACCTCACACGTATGTTCTGACTAAGGTGATATGTAATATTTGTTCTGTGCAACCCAGCCTTTCAGTGAAGGGCTGCATGGTAGGTAGAAATAAATGTGACACGCAGGTACGCGTACTACTACTAACAGTTGTCTGTCAGTATGTGATGCTGTGCCGATAAGTGCACATAGGCATAAGTGAAAGTTGAATTCAACGTACAGCAATGAATAGTGACTTTAACTTTCTGGCTGGACAAGGCTATTCATTATTGGTGAGGGCCCCACCAGCCCTATAAGTATAATGAACATAGAATCCATATAGGCAACAGCTGGTAACTCACTGGAGCAAATAATTGACCAGAGCATTGTCCGTAGGTAGGTCAATGGAATTAAGAACACCAAAGTTATCGGTTTGTCTTAGATGAGTGGTCGATAGGTGTAGGCTGAAGAAGTCGGTTTAGATTGGGGGGGGGGGCAGTGGCTATAAGTATAAGTAGAACAAAGGCACTTTCAGTAGCACATGTGCGTGTGACGGTGGTTATCGTATGTAGGGTGGGAATTTCTTAGTGCTGCTGTGTAGCCCAGCATCGTGGCTTTGTTGTCTCTAATAGATTTTTGGTAAGTAGTCGTTACGCAAATACGTTTCCATAAACCAATGAACACTAACGGTCTTCTCTCATTGTCGGCACAGTATAGTGAGGGAGATTTGTCTGGTCTTTGGAGAGGAGAACCATCATAAAATTAGCAATTAGTGACAGTGTGCGGGAAAGCAGTAATCAAGTGGCCATCAGTTTACGTGAGAATGCACGGAGCGAATACAGGTCTGTCGCTCCCAAGCACAGAGTGAATTATACGTAAGGGTGAAATGAGTGGCCGTGTGACCTACGCTATGTACTAATGGCAGTAAATAAACACTTAATATCTCACTACGTTTTTGTTAAACTGAACGCTCCTACTGGTATAGTCCAATACATATGCCCCGTTAATGTTCATCAACTGTTATTGTTACACGGAAATCACTGTTAATTACAGGTGCTAATATGGCCTACGCTTAATTCTTAAAGCAAGGATTTCAAACAGTTCGCCTCACCGTTCTCGTATTTATTCGTACACTACAGTACGTACTGGTATTCATTTCATAACAGCAAGTCTCTAAAGTAAGGCTAACATGTCTTAGAGCACTCATAGACCATTATTTCACAATAATATGCAGCGATTAAAATCTGTTAGTTTATATCTTGTTGACGCGGTTACTTGATGGTCACGTGTCACGATCATTGTCAATGTTCACGATCTTTCATAGCTGTTGCTTTTTCACGTTCGGTCTTGATGTTTCTTCTTGATGTTCCCTCTCGTCATTTCATCATTCCCTCTCATCATGCCGACTGGTGTTCAGCAGTCGGCAGTAGCAGGCGTTGTTATTCACAGTTTGCGTCATATTTCATCATGAACACAAATGAAAGGCTCCAGACACCTCCTACATAAGTCTGTTTTGTGAATACTTTGCAGCAACCCTCTTACAGGAGACAACCAGTGATGTAGTGAACAGACTGCCAGGCAATTGCCACATCTCAATATAATCCTTTCGTTTTTAGTTTCCATTGATTTTTTACAATCCAACAAAATGAAGTACGGCACACCATACATTGGACAAAAGTAGCTTCGCAACAAGCCTTGATTGTTTACAATTACTTTGCCTTTATTGTACATCTTTTGTGAGATGTATCAATTATTTGGAACTGAATAGTTCAGCGAGAGTCATTGATTGTATTTGCCAAGACACCTATTCAATTGGTAACGGGTTTTGGAGAAGTGACATGTGAATGTTATGAAGGTTGCATGTAGATACGGAATGCAGACTTTCTGTGGGGCAAAGCTCTTGAGAAGTTGAGCGCATTTTGATTCGGTTACAGAACCATGTAGGTGTAAAGATTTCTCTTGGATTTCTTCTGGTAGTTGTACCCTATTCTGTTAGCAGAGGCTCGCGTCCCTGCAGAGGTATTATCATACTCTGGGAAAACTATATCAAGACCTGCATCTCGTGCAGCGTATATTATTTTACCCTGGAACGAGTACTCGACTGAATGCCAAGACATGTGTCCATGCAGAGTATTGTTGTACTCTATATATATCAGGAGTAGATGTAGGGTTTATGTAGCTGCTGCACGCAGCTTTGCGTTAAGCCCTGCAGTGCATCTGCATGCATTCTGCGCACCATCCTCGCTGCAACGTTTCCATGGTTTGCCTGGCCTTATCATGGGCTGTGCATTCGCTGACAGGTGATCGTAAACTAATTGCGTGTGCTGTCTCCTCTGCTTGTAGCCCGTCGATGCGTACAGAAACGTGAGCAGGTGTGCACACCGCCACGCGATGAACGGTCATGACGACGCTGTGCAGCATGGACACGACGACAGCGCCACCTACGTAGACGACATTGAGAAGATCTTTGGACACACAGCGAGGACAGGTGACGGCAGCGGCCGTGACGAGGAGACTGACAGTGCGTTCATGTCATCATCTACGCCCGGCAATGAATCGCCCCGCGCGCGCGACCTCATGGACTTCCACGATGAGCGACTGAACAGGTACCAGCTGTGGGTGGGTTAGACTCGCGATCGATGCACATCAGCAATAAGGGGGAGGGGTGAACAAATTAAAATGATGCCTGGGGTGAAATTCTCGATGACTATTTCATATATGGGTCATGATTTGAGGGCGTAATGAACCGGTGGTATAAAGCAGCGAGTGAGTTTGGAAGATAGGTAGATGATTTCCAGAGTGAAGTTCATTTTTGATGCTTGTTTTGTAGTAGTAGTGACCGAGGGGTGGTTGGAACAAAGGAAGTGGACAAATGAAGGATTTTATAATTATAGGTTAAAAGTTATCCAACATTTTGCACCTATGGTCTCTACTTTGAAATTTGCTACTTGCACTGTTTTCTTCTTAGTTACTATTTTGGTGTAGTAGGTGGTTAGCGTGTCCATCTGCTGGCTGTTGTTTTTTGTGACGATGTCTATACGCATGTTCTCGTCAAAATAGCATATATCCTTGACTTGAAACTCTAGGTGCATTGTAGATTGCATGTGTTAGATAGATCTATGCTAAAAAATGTTCAATGCTTAAAAGCAATGAAGCTGTTGAACATAGGCATAGTCACCATGAAAACAATGATATAGTTCAAAAAGAATAATAAAACTACACATTACTAGGTTTAATGTACAAATATTTATTGGTTTCACATAGGCTTTAAAGCACCTGATGTGCTGTAGCTTCTGTAGAGTTGGCACTATAGGTTGATGCACAGTGTGCATTGTGTGTCCTTACAAGTTACATGTTGGCATGAAATAGAGGTTTAAGCCCCGGTCACAACGGATCGTACGAAATTTTGTCGTGGTGGACCCATAAAATATTTGTCGTGGACAGATCTTGCAACATGCCTGAAATTTATTTCTAGTGGTCACAAGGGCTACGACACATCAAAGATGGTTTGGCGATGGGGACGCGACAGAAAAAAAAGATATGTCGTGGTTATGTCGTGGGTGTGTCGCAAGTCAGTCGTGCGTCAGTCGTGAGTTGTCGGGCATTGTCGGGGGGCTGTTTTTCACGTAAACAGGTCGTGGTTCACTCGTGGGATGCACGTGTTACAGTCGTGCGACTGGCGCACAACAGTCGTGGGTCATTCGTGGGTCACTCGTGGGTCACTCGCGCGTCCGTCTCCCGACTATATAACGAGGGCGGTCTGGTTGCCTGCCATTTGCTGCAGAGATTTTCCAGTGATACATCGAAGTTCTGCCTAAATTTTTGAAATTTGTCACCTTCATTTAATCAAAGTTAGTATCCAGGATGCCTCTCAAGAAGAAAACTAGCAGTTGGCCCTTGGTGATGCGAGGGGCGACACTCAGCAACAGCTCGTGAACATGCCAGACTCCATCCGCATGAACCCCACGAAGTCACCGGCAGATCCCGCTCCAACTCTTGCATCGAGAGTACTTACTGCCCAACATCGGCGCCGCTCGATCCACGGCCGAACCCAACAACGTCGGGGGTTTCGCCGGTTCGCGCTGCTCCGGGCCCGGATCAACGCCAACAGCACTATATTATGCTCGTGCTGGAGTTCCTCCAGACGCCCCCTCAGCAGGGCCACGCGTAGTCGCTCAGTTAGAATAGCCATCCTCTTTCAGTGCCGACAGGCAGTTTTTAATTCAAGCGTTCATTCGCGCGAGCTATATACCCTCAAAAAACGAAATATGTTTGCAAGACTAACGCAAGACTAACGCACGACAGACTTGCAATGTTGTGCGAGCTCTTACGAAATATAATATTCGTGAGACAATCTTCAACTGTCTCACGACTGTCCTGCGACAGCCGTGAGACAGTTGTAGGACAGTCGTGCGATAGTCGTAAGATTGTTTGACTACAAAATTTCTTCTGGTACCCGACACAGATATTTTATCGCACGACAGTCGCAAGACTGTCGCAAGACTGTTGTAGGACAGACTCACGACAACCAGAAGACATTGATACCACAAAAAATCGTGCAACAAAAAAGGTGCATGTTCAATTTTGCCTCACGACGGCAAGTCGATGCCACGATGCTCAAAATTTCGTAGGACTGTCTTGCGACGACCCCCGATGACCCACGATTTGCCCAAATTTTCTGTCGTGTCGTTGCACAAATGCGTCGTGGGCTCGTTGTGACCAGGGCTTTAGAAAGAATCACAGGGTATCGTAAAAACAGGTGGTAGAGTATTGCTTCCGTTTGCAGGCCGGATTCAGAGGTGACCGACGAGGAGCAGTACGAGGACTACGGTGAGAATGAGGAGAGCCTCACAGAGGCAGAATATGACTCACACACCTCACTGAGCCTGTTCGACGGTGATCTGACTCACATCCGCCCCCACAACAGGTAATGGCCCTCTGCCCTTCATCCACTCAACCCCTCACCCCCTCATCCCACACCCACTCAGCCCTCACTCCCTCATCTCTCCCCTTAACATTCACCCCTCTGACTCAACCCCTCCCCCCCTCGTCCCGCACCCACTCAGCCCTTGCCTCTGTACCCCTCCCCCTACCTGCTGATCCCTCACCCTTTACCCTTGTCCAATCACCCCTCACTCCCCTTACCGTTCACCCATCCGACCCACCCCCTCAACCACTCGCCGATGCCTCTCAGCCCTTCCATTCACCCCTACCCCTCATGCCTCCCCCTTGCTCGCCAGTCCTTCCCTCGTCCCTGTCTCCATTCCTCACCTTCATCCACTCCACTCACCTGCTTACTTCCCCCTTAACCCTGTCCCCTGTACCCATAACCCCTCTCCTTATCCCTTACCCTTTACCTCCATGCCCCACATTATCCTTATCACCACTCACCTTATCATTTAACTTCACCCCTTACCATCACCCCTCCCCCTCACCCTCGTCCCCTCTGCCCACCCCTAATCTTACCCACTCCCTTCACACGTGATGTCATTATCTCCCTAGAGCAGTTAATGCTTCCTCACCCCCGCTCCACAACAGTTCCCTACTCCTCCCCCTCCCCCATCCAGATGCTCTCAACCCCGTGTCAGCAAATTCAAACCGTGACGGCATGTTCATTATTGAGGTCTGCCCCCCTGGGCGGTGCCCATTTTATGAAATTTTGACCTGGCTGCGTTTGCAGTTAAGTGTGTTTCTGGTGTGGTTTTCCGTGTGATTTAGAACGGTAGGCAAGTTTGCTGTGATTCGGTCGCCGTCACCGATGATTGATCCTGAATGAATTACCCCTGGTCATTCACTGTCAGTCAGCAGAACTTTACATTGCAAGTACGTGTGTCGTGCGGCGGGTCGGCCAGCCGCAAGCACCGTTCTGTTGTAAAGTGTAATAGAGAACGTGTGACGAATTTCAGAGGTTACTGGGCATGGTGTGAGGTGTTGGCATGAGGCATCGATTTGAAAGTGACTTTTATATATTTGCACGGAGTTAGTCAATTAGCTGGTTGTTTTCGTTACAATCATGGGGGTTGTCACAGAATAAGAGAACGATTTTGTATTTCCGTGTACCTGCCTGTTTCAATCAGTTTTATTCATGATATATTTCCTGCCCCACTCGCTAGCACGTAGAAGGAAGTTTTCAGCAGGGTAAACATGCTGGTGATTCATGTGGTTCATTGTTACCCACTCAAATATTTGATTGTACCCGTCACATTCCGCCCAATCTGTTGGAATTCGTGTCGTATTTAAACTAAATTACATGGTTTCGAACCAGCAGTTGTCCTGGGTCGTTGTGGACGGATTCAATAAAAAACAGTGTACCAAATATTGCCGTGCAAGCAGAAGTGATCAAACCATATATAAAGGCTATTGGTGCCCCTAGTTGTAGGGGGAGAGCCATTACAAACCCATCGTCATCTATTGTGTAGTTTGTGCGTTTATAAATCGACAAATAACCCCACTAACAGTAACTGTCTGTATGTAGATCGATGTGTTCATCTGTCTCTATAATTGCCTCACGCAAATCTCCCCGTGTGCGTGCGTGTGTGTGCGCGCATGCATGCTCTCCATGTATCTAATATTTAACGCTTGTCTTGCGTGCGTACCCAGCAACGGACCAGACGAGTTGTACAGAAGACCTCCACACGCGAGAAAGGAGTCTTGGATTCGGCGAAAGCGGCTGAGCAGCGGGTACATGCTGTTTGCTTGCTTGCGTTTCTTACTTCTCCGCCACGCTACTGCATGATGCGGGTGCTTTCACCAGGGCAGAGGGCAATGCTTCAGAATCGCTGTTATATAGAGCGTGCACTAGCTGCTGCCAGATTTCAAATATGTTCAGCATCACTGCCTTTCCACCAGTGTTGTCGCATTTTCAGGAAAGCTTTTCCGAAAATATTACTGGGGAAAAGCATAATAATATACTATCATAAAAATAAATGATGATAATCATAAAATCTAAAGAGAAAGAGTATTCATGTCGTGTGAGCTCATAACTAATACTACTAATACTACTGCTTTGGTAGTATATGTATAGGGGGTGTGTATACAACATTGAATGACAACAATTTATTGAAATGCTGTTTACAGTTATATGCACAGCTGAGAAAATGAGAATCGGGAGGTGCTAGGGAACATTTGTCTTTGAATTATACTTGATAATATGCACACGATCAGTAGATCTGTGAGTTATAGAATGGTACTATGGATGAATAATAATAGTAGGATGTAGTATAGTTATTATGTTTGCACAGCTTCTAGTATGTTGCGGACTGGCATGAAGCACATTGTGTAGCAAATATATAATAATAATCAGTACTTTTCCATTGCAAGCCTGCTGAGTCCACCTTCCTGGACTATGTAAGTGTGTTTTGCACGCAAATCTAACACGATCCTTTCTTTGTGCTCATTGTTGTTCCATGATGCATGCGTCCCATCTCTGTTAGATATTTTCGCATTCTATATTGATTTTAATTAAGCAAAAATAACATTTAGTGTAATGTTTGTCTATGATATTAATGGCTAATAAGTGGTTTCCCCCTTTTAGGTCTTTGTTCCTGATATCATGTCCTGTGTTTATGTAGCCGATAATCCTGGCCAATCCTCACTATTAACTAGTCATTGTCAAGTTTGGCTATCAATCACATTGGAAGTTTCCTTACTGCGAAATTTATTAACATTTTAATTTTGGAATAATTTCAGAATATCGAGTTATACCAGATTATGATGCTTATTAGAGCCGCAGTTTTTGCGTGTGCTTACATCCTGGAATACATGTATGTGCTCAGCTAGCTTATCTGCCCATGTTTGCTCAGGGTGGTACCGCATTGGCTGTGGTAATTATTTTACTCTGGGTCATTACATCATTGAAATATAGCCACTCTATATGTAGAGGCATATATACGTTTTCCAAAATAATCCAGAATTACAGATGTGTGAACGTACAGGGTATAGTTTAAAAGATTGAGCTTCCCAAAAAGTTTGAGATTTTAATCAAATAAAGTGGTTGTAATAATCTTGGAGGTTACTTTAGTTCCGCAGTGATGACTCATTCACTCGCTATGTAATTACCTGGGGGTGCACTGATTCTCTTGTACATCCGGCCCTAGTTGCCCCGGATTACGGCTAGCGGCGGCATGTAATTGTCACTTCCCAATCATCATTGCTGTAATGATCGCTTCCCAATCATCACAGCTTGCATCTCGGGAGTTGCATGTTCAGGTTGGGGGGAAGGCGGGCGGTCAGGTTCGTTTCCCTGTGAGCTGTACCTGTGCACTAGCTGTACAGGTGTCACCCCGATCGGATGCATCCCACGCTGTCGCTTTGCACTAGACGTGTCCTTATATTAGGATTAGTGACGGCAGGCGCGTGCAATGGTACGCGGTAATAGCGATGTTTTCGCAAAATGACTGTGCCGATTGTTTATCGTTTTTTGTCTTGGGTAATGTGTATGGAGCATGCGAATGTAGGGGTCCGTAAATAATGGCAGGCTTTGTGAGGCAACCTTGGCGATGCATGCGGCTAGGTAAGTGGGTGTCTCTCACAACCTCACGTTCTCATCATGTTTCGGCACAGTATAATATTACATCCTCTCTCACTGCCGAGATAGGGTCACCCATTCGTTGCAATATCGTATAGTGCAGCTACATATAGTGATATATAGCTATAAGTGATCTTGTTATTCCTTTGTCTTGCAGTCCAACGAAAGCACGAATTTCATCGAACGCTCAAGCTAGGTGAGTGCTGTACATTTTCGTGTCTCACTATGCACAATCTGCCAGGCATAAGCGATTAGGGCTCTTACCGAAATGCTGAATTTAATTTGTCGATTTATTGCCATGGGCGATGGTATTGATATCGCTGTATGAAAAGCAGAGGGGGTAGTATAGTAAATAACTGGGTCATTGGAATATATTATTTGCTTGCTGATCACTGGGACCAATTTAAGCTTTAGAAATGTAATTAAACAAATCTTATCATATGCATTTGTTAAGTTCTTATAATAAACCAATCTTATCATAAAGCTAGTTAGTTCCTTGCTGGGGTCATGTGGAAAGGCCACGTGGTTACAGCCAGGCACGTACCATGCAGAGCTAGAGATTAGATGCGTGCTCGCTTTTCAGGAAATTGTTTGCTCTGTTGGTTATGTTGCTGCCAGCAGTTCCTTATCCTTGCTAAGTTTTCCCTCAGTCACGTTCTGCATGTTTGCTGCCAGTGGTTCTGATCCAGTGGCAACATACTCTCTGCTCCTCAAACAACCATCCCATGCTATTCACCTGGCGGCTTTGTTTTATCTTGCCGTCACTTCAGTCCAGCACCGAAGTGTTTTTTCTTTCTTGTGGATTAGTCGTGTGCTGATGCAGGTGCACCAACTGATAGCAACCAGTGACTATGTTTGCAGAAACATCCACTGTGAAGAATTTTCATGAGAAAGTTATCACTTTTATCTAGTTTGGTTTTAGCGCTCACAGACCAAGTGGTCCTGGTACTGTGAATGAAACAAAAAGTTTCTTGTCATTTACAGGCAACCGGCAGTGCTAGTTTTAAATTTCCCCAGAGATAAAAATCAATGGACAAACCTGTTTCTATAATTCAATTGGTTGTGATACTAGACTGGTCATCCAAGGTCTGAGTGGACAGTTTCACAGTGCGTGGCCTAAGCCAGGCTAGCACGCAGACAATAAGCTTTGCCCAAAAGTCATGGCTTATAGGCTTTTCGAAATTCTGGTGCAGAAAGTACGAGTGGAAATAGCCAGCCCTCAGTGTATTAGATACGATCAACAACAGATGGGGAAAATCTGAACAAGAGATGTAGATTCATATGTGTTCCTCATTCGCTCAGAACAGCATGATATTGATTACAGGAGTATGGCATCTTGCCACCTACCTGAGTTCATTTAAGCTATTGCAGTGCTATAACATGGTTAATGATAACATACGGCAATTTTTCTCAATTGGTATTGATTTTTACGATATCGATACTGTTGGCTAATCGTTGAAGTATTACCTAGAGTAACAGAGAAAGAGGAAAGTGAGGTATACATACGTTACGTACTTGACATCTTTGGGCTGCGATTGCAGGAACAGTAGTAGATGGATCTGCTGGTGTTTGTATGGAGCGTTGGCTCACATGCCCGTTGATTTCGTTGTTACAGCCAGCTATACAGAGGCGCAAACTCATCAACTCACAGCAACCGCAGCTATGGCAGCAGCAGCCGCAGGAGCAGCACATCCGACGAAATGTTCGCTGAGGAAATTGCCGAAGATGTGCACGATCTCAACTCGAAGGTACGCACACGGATCTGAATCGATTATGCACTTTTACATTGTTGGTGCGAGTCGTAAAGTGAATTATCTGTGCATGTCACCGGCATTGTGACACGGCTTCATCATTGTAATTATTATCCATCCATTCCTTTATATTTAGTTTATGCTGACCTATCAATTTTTTACTTACTTGCTGAGCTGTAAGAAAGCCATCTATCACAGTATCGTAGCTATAAGCAGCATCTTTGTTAATGTATGTGTGCGTAACTTAACTTGACTGTGTCTTTCTACTGTTCTAAGGTAACCCAGTTGCAAAAGACAGTAGCTATGCTAGCTGATAGTCAGTCACACACGGAGGATATGAAGAGCAGACTGAAGCAGGAAAATGCTGCTCTACAGGCTAGGTATATTTCTTGCTCTCTTCTTTCCTAATCAATAACACTGTGAGCATGTGTGCCTACCAGTACCAGGCAGATGTGATAAAAATATCATGATCACGTGATCCTAAGCATAATTCAATACATAATAACCATGTTTACCTTCTACCGTACTAACTAAATAACAGCGAAGCTGGTTTGTTGATATATGCATGCCTATTGAGTGATATTCCATTCCTGTATCACCCTCCTGCACACACACACACGCACACACACACACACACACACACACACACACACACACACACAGACACACACACACACACACACACACACCACAACCACCCACCACCACCACACCGCCGCCACCACCGCCG